CTAACATGCATTCTGTTTGATACATTCAGTCAATAATGTACTCAAGTTTATCAATTGCTGCTATTTTGCTGGCAAATCATGTATAATCCAGGTGTTTTGCAATCAAAAGTAATGCAACATGGATAAATCAAATAAGTGGATTAGGCTGACAGTATTTAGTCACTCAATAGGCTCCGGTCATTAATAAAAACAGAGCCTTTTTCTGCTTTATGCAGACTTTACAATAATTAGGCAATTCTGGGATATGAAAGACCCATACATTCCATTACACTACCAGTTACTGGTTAATTTCATTATTGGTGTAAAATGTGGAGGCTGGGCTACAATTTATATGGACTATGGTGGCTGGGCTACAAATTAATCTATAATATACATGGCTTCTCAAAGCCTAATTGCTGTTAGAACAACAGTCTATGATAATGAGAGTCAATGAGAACAAGTATATAATAAGGTCATCCTGCAATTTGTGCACTGTTGCATGTAGATCGAGCACTGCATTGTATACAATGGTTGTACTTCGACATGTGCATGGTTATACTCTAGCTCCTAGTTATAATTATATTGGCTATCAAACGAAAAACATACGTGACTGAGGTTATGAGCGAGATTTGCAAGTTTTGCAACTCTCATCTATTAAATTTTCCAGACCTGTATATAAAATAAACAGTAAAACAATGATTACATCGTACATACCATACAATCTTTGTTGTTGCTTGTTTGCAGAACACTTGACAAATTATCAGGTAAAAGACTTAAAACCACGATGTAGTACGCCGTGTGCCACATTTTGTTTAGTAATTTTTTTAAATAAATTAGAATTCCGACCATTTATATGCGATATACTTCATGTAAATTAAACTTTACGGCATTACGCCGACAGTTTCCGAATGCTTGACAATACTGTTTCAAACAGTTTCTGGATATAGATATCAAACATAATTTCATAAAACATGTTTGTTGAAACAGTTTAAATAAAATGCAAGCTAAATAAAGAAGTGTTGACAAGATACAAAACAAGACAATTTCACTTACAAGGGTGACAAGGTAATTTATAGGAATATAGCTTTAATATTGTAACTGTATAAATACATTGTGCGTTTCTACTCCCTGCGGGCTGTGGTTCTTTTGGAAATCAAATATCTATTATATTTTGCAATTAATAAAGCGATTAATATTGAAGTTTAGCCTAAGACATGTGTAGTTTAGTTATAGGTTGGCATTTTGCAATTATGTAACGCACATGCCCCTTAAGTAGAGTATATTTATTAACTGTTTACAATATTTGTGGTATATAATGTAGCCATGAATGACCCCACAGGATGAACTACAATGGCTTCTAAATAAGACATTGGATGAAAAGTTCACGAATATTGAGCTTTATATATGGTTCGGGTTAATTAAATACAATAATTATTAACCTACCTTTATATAAAATGTACATACATGTTCTAATAATTGTATTTTGCTTCATACAATGCATATGTGTGTGAAAACATTACATTATTCAGCTCACTCCCCTTTGGGGCATTTCAGTCACCGCTTACATCAAGTATTAGGATTACTTATGTTAGTCTAGACTATTTATCTTCATAACAATGAGAATATGATATCACTTTTCTAACTGTGTTTATTCTAACCCACCCTGCCATATTTTGCCTTGTGGGAAGAAACAAGAGCAAAATATAAAATTCAATTACCTTGAAAACACCTAAATTGCAATCCCTAAAATTTAGAATTTTCTCCTAAATCGCCTTAAATCGCATTATATCGCAGTGCTTGAAAATCCCAGTTTTTCCTTAAATCGCCTAAAATCGCCCAAAATCGCATTATATCACAGCGATTTAGGGCGATTTACCGCCCCAGAGTAGGCCTTTAACTATGCAAAATCAAAAGCGAGCATGATTTCTTTATCAAGAGCATCAGAGGTTGAGATGGCTTGGTAAATTCGGTTGGTGAAAAAAAGAATAAAGGGTTTAATCAAGTTCGACATAACCGAGTAAAAACGACCGAATTAGTATAGGCAGTTCAACAGGAAGTAAGTTTAAGATTTCCAGGAAATAATACAATCCCGAAAAATGAGCTGTCTTGCTCGGCTGTATGCTTTATTTACCGGATGCTATGAAACCTGGCTAATTTTACTTTTTGAAGTTTAAATATACTCTATAGTCCTGCAAATTTAACCCCCTGGAATGTTAGCTAGGGTAACTGATTTTGCATTTACGTTTCCAAGTTGTTCTCAAATATACTGAATCCACATGAAATTAAAAATCGATATCGAATAATAGTGTAATTAGAAAACAATGAACATACTTCATGCGAGATAACAGTAATCAAGTGTGATATTAACGCGAGTTACATGTGACACTAATTACAATGAACACATTCAAGATCTATCAGAAAATAAAATTGTCTCATCACAGTGAGTAATCAACTGAAAACGGATTGCATTCAACAATAAAATTGCTAATCTATCACCATCATTTAATAACGCACGTCAGAAAAAGATCCACCGAGATCGGCGCATGGAAATCATGGCGGCTAAGCAGACTGAACCCATGATAAACTTGTGTCGCACAATACGACATTACTTGCTATCCCTATATTTCGTGCCGCATCAAACCTAATTAGAATTGATTTAGACGCCGCTCTCCTATATTGTATACTTAATTAATCGTTGTAATCAACCAAATAAAACGTTCGCCGTCTAAACCGGGTCTTACAATCCCAGAGTTTAACCGCCATTAATAACAGTTACGTGAATACTGCAAAGCGTGAAACAGATATCTTCCCTATAAATTAAATGTGATGATTCCTTTTTTAAATAGGTTTACTGTTACGCACGCCAGGGTTGGAAACTTGTGGCTCGCTTCTCTAACCAGGATCGAAAACATTGGGTACTAGATGAAAACTTTTGGTTTGACAGAATTTCTACCTACGGCGCAACCCTAAATCCTTCGGACAACCAGGATATGATTTCCGAAGCATTTTGGAGAACATCAGCAAGTGAAATAAGAATTACCAGGAGTGATGATCCAACACATACCGCGTTGCTGGAAACTACCAACAATTGCCTCAAGGGAAACACATTTCGGCGATTTATAACTTCGTTTGGAAACTTTCGCTACGGGTATGTTTGGGCAAGTGATAAGTCTCTGAGTAGTTGTACGATCAAATATGGTGGACAATATCAGAGCACGACTGGATTCAATATGTATGGGTGCAGTGGTGAGATTCAAAGCAGTAACTCTATCGGATTTTGGTGTGATTGGGATCACGGAGATGGTGCAGTGATGATGATTGGAGGAGGTGGAAGCTCGTGCAATAGAGCGGATCATGGCATTGGAATTACTGAAGAACAGGAAGCAAAGTTTGGTGGTAGCAAAGATTCCCTAGACTTCGGCTACGAGCCTGCAGCGAGCGACGACTACGACGAAAGTAGCACTCAAAAATTATACTCTTTGAATTTGTGGGTGTGATAAACATTGGATTTCATCATACTAACGCTTATACCTTACTTACATTTATTAATATCTTGTTACATGGTCATTACATCGAACTTGCTCATGCAATAGAGCTTACTTAATTAGCAATTATTTTAATTTTAAGAAGAATATATCTCAACGTGCAACCAGGCAAAGTGAACATCTTCACCTGCCTAGAATTAGAACAGAATCTGCAAAACGTAGTTTCTACTATAATGGCTGTAAAATATATAATAAACTTAAACAGTGCCAATGACTTTCTAATTTAGTATAGAATTTTTAGCTATAATCTTTTAGCTCGTATTGAACTTGAATTTAAATTATAGAATTCTTAGACTTATAAATTGTGGAACATATGTAATTTATTTTTTACTTGTATATCAAAGCTCCTATCGATAGCAGTGACTTTCTGTCGCTGACAGGACTACTCTGTTTAAATAAAGGTGTACTACTTCAACTAACGTGTGAGATAAACATATGCTATTGCTTGATTACTTAAATTTTTATATTTATTTGTTCCTTCCATCATTTCAAGGTTATTATTGCTATCACTAAATTTTTAAGCATCCTAAATCTTAGCTTTGATTTTCGAGTTGATTGCATATTTTTAATTATGACTGTTATTATGTATATTGGATTTATGAAATAAATTATATTAAGAACGAGCTGAGTTGTTGTACTTGTTATCAGAATAGGGGGCCCCAGGGACAGCTAGGCAAATGCTAATGAGGGCATTTGCATAACCTACCTTATATAAGTTGTTTACGCCAGTAGCTCATTCTCAGTCGTGACATTTAGTCGTTCCCATCCCCCCTCACCCACGAGGATTCTTAGTCGTTCCCATTCCCATACCCACGCCCATCCGTAGCCTTCCCGGAGAAAGCCCGAAGCCAGTCCCGTCGCTTTGCTCGCTGCCCGTCGATTGCCCAATCTCAGTAAAATACCTTTCCCTGTTTATGATGTGGCACCTCGCGCCAGCCTCGCTGGGTTAACGACCCTGGTATCTCACAATCCTTCGTCTGCCGCATCGTCCTTTCCGTCCAGTGTTTGCGGCAATCAGCGTCAACAATCGGCTCAAACTCGTGTGTGTGTCATAAGTCGTTCGTTATACTATCTGCTATTACATTGTATGGAAAGGTTTTGCTTTTACCAATGGTAAAATATATTTTTATAAGTAAGTGTCTGATTGCTTGATCTCTTGGTTGGTTGATTGAACACGTCAATTGAACAGTTCGTTAATTGATTGATTGATTTTATTATTTAGTCCTTTTCCGTTTACTGTTCAG